GGTTAGACCAAACATTTACCTCGATGTCACGAACACAATTCAAGTCTCCACTATCGCTTTACCTCTTGATTCCACCACCAATTTGCTCGTATCTAACCACAAGTTACTTAATTACATCAGATGCTAAATGAATTAATTCTAATGCATGGAAATAAGTTTTCTAAGGTTTTTCCCAAAAAGTCAAAAATCGCCCTTGGGCCTACATGGTCAAAACCCGAGGTTCAAACCAAAACTCGGTTACCCATTCCCCCACGAACTTAAATATATAATTTGTTTTGAAATCGGACCTCAAATTGAGGTCCAAATCCCCAAAATTTGAAAAACCTAGGTTCTACCCAAAACACCCAATTTCCCCCATGAATTCATTGATTTTAAGTTGAAATCATATGAAAAGATGTTAAAGATTAAAGAAAACAAGTTAGAAATGACTTACAATCGATTTGGAAGAGAAGTTGTCTTTGAAAAATCGCCCAAGAGTGTTTTCGTTTTGAAAGAGTGTGAAAAATGATTGAAATGCGTCTAAGTTATGAATTTACAGGTTGCAGGTATCGTAATTGCGACTAAGGTTCGCAATTGCGAACCCAGAAGTCTGCTACTCTCGCATTTGCGAAGGGACTTTCGCATTTGCGAAGTCGCTTTTTGCGATAAATGTGTCGCATTTGCGACGACTGGCTACAACTGGAGGCATCACATTTGCGATGAGTACCTCGCATTTGCGAGGTAATGCTGGCCTGGGCTCTTTCGCATTTGTGACATAAATCTCGCATTTGCGAGCCAGGTTTCGCAAATGCGAAGCCTGCAGGCCTGCAATATACCAGCTAAAATCTACAACATCCTAAGTCCAAATTCCACTTCGTGACCTATCCAAAACTCACCCGAGCCCTCGGGGCTCTAAACCAAACATGCATACCAACCTAAAAACATCATACGGACTTGCTCGTGCATTCAAATCACCAAAATAACATCAACAGCTATGAATTTAGCATCAAAATCATGAAATTACTTAAGAAATAAGGTCCGATCCTCGTCATTTCTAGTTCGTTTCTCACCAATCTTCACAAACTCAACTTAAATCGCATATAAGACCTGTACTGGGCTCCGAAACCAGAATACGGGCCCGATACCATCAAATTTCAAACATATTTCATTTCCAAAAACTCATAAATATTCCAGAAAATAATTTTCTTCAAAAAATTTATTTCTCGGGCTTGGAACCTCGGAATTCGATTCCGGGCATACGCCCAAGTCCCATATTTTCCTTCGGACCCTCTAGGACCATCAAATCACTGGTCCGGGTCCGTTTACCCAAAAAATTGTCCGTAGTCAACTTAAATTCATTTTAAAGGCAAAATTCATCATTTTCATAAAAATTCACATAATGGCTTTCCGGCTACGCACCTGAACTGTGCACGGAAATTGAGGTGAGACAGAAAGAGGTTTTTGAGGACTCGAAACGCAGAATTTATTTCTAAAACAAGTGATGACCTTACAATTTTCTTCTCTTACTACCGATATAATACTTGAATTGACAAATATTCGTGTCCAAATGTTCAGCAAAAAAGTATACAATGAAAAATATATCATGTGCAGATCTTCAAATCTTGTGTCTTATGCAAGATAAAAATTTTGTTCCGTGGAAAAGATTGTGTACATATTTTTAGAATTGTTATTAGTAATCTTAAAGATTCTATATAGTTGTTATAGTATAATTTTACAAAGAGCGTTCTACTATAAATATGGTTGTTGCCGTTATCGGTAAAAAACTATTACAGAGAGACAAAATATAACTTAAAAAATAGGTTCTAAGGAACACTTGGCTTTTAGAGTGAATGCCTGTTATATAAGGGTTCTGTTATAAAGATGTTTGACTGTACATTCGACGTTTTGCAATATCCCACGTAACAGAATAGGTAGTTGTAACTAGGAGAGGCAAATGGACGGGTCAGGTCGAATATGGTTCGAGTAAAAAATGAGTAATAAAAAAATGGATAAATTATCTGACCCGATCCATATTTAATACGGATAAAAATGGGTTAACCGACGGATAATATGGGTAACCATATTATCCATAACTTCTTGCATATGATCACTTTTGGGAGAATTCGTAGTCTCCTAACTTGAGGAACCCCCAAGTTGAGGCTTTACAATATAAAAGTTAAACTCATTGGTTAACCATTGGTTATCAATTTTCTAAATAAATAATATGGTTCTTATCAATATTTAACCCATTTTAAAAAAGTTCATTATCCAACCTATTTTTAATAAATAATATGAGTGGTTATCAGTTTTTCGGAACCATTTTACCACCACTAATTGTAACAGTGTGACAAAATCATGATAAGATTTAACATTCAGAAAACAACAAATATTATCACACTGAAAGATTGTAACATTATTCTAATTATAAAACAAAGTGACATGACTTATTTTTCAAAAATTATAGAGACATAGGGCGCCCCACCTCTTAATCTACAATACATTTTATTGGTGAGTAGTCAACATCATACTCTGCTAAATAAATATCTTAGTTTAAACTTTTCATTTTCGTAACGACAAAATATCCAAAAAGATGTAGGAAAAGAATTGTAGCAGTCTTGAGACCTTTCATCTTTTTTGGACTGAACAAGGTTTGAAAAATTAGAGTTTTTGGCAAAAATCATCCTTAAACTATGACTCAAATCAAGAGTACATTCTTATCTTATCCTAGTAAACAAAAACCATTCTTATACTATTTAAAATGTTGCAAGAATCATCTTTCCGTTAAATTTTATCACAAAAACTAGCAGCATCGTTCAAAAGGCCATGTCCATCACGTGCCTTTTCCTCTCAATTTTCTAACATTGTCCCTCCTGCCCAATCGACTTTTCCAAGAACGTGCTGACCGTCTTCTTTTTCCTTCTTAATTTTTGTTTCCTCCCTTTCTTCTTCTTCTTCTTCTTCTTCTTCTTCTTCTTCTAGTAGGATGAACTAGGTACTGCTTATTTCTTCTTTAAAGTTGTTGCTATTTAATGAACAAAAATGGCCTACACTGAAATAACTTCTCCTTAAGTTGTTTTCTTATAACAAGCAGATGATAACAAGAGATTGGCACGACCTTGAGGTGGAAGTGCATTATGATCATGTAAAATCTTATATTTGTGCCGAGCTTTGATGAGGGTGCCGATTCTCTTTGTGTCAGTTTTATTAGTCTACCTATAAATGAGAAAAATTAAAAGGTTCTAGCTCTAAATCAAGAACCTGAAAGTCTGAAACTAGATTAGTTCTCTTCCATTTGTCGGAGTGAGTGGTTTCACAATAGTTGAGCTAAACCGAAGTTGGAGTCACATTTTAAAAACAAACCTTGCATCATCACCTCAAATTAAAGATATAATATCAAAATCTACCGTACGTGCAGTGAAATACATGTTGCTGCTTAGAAAGTCAAAACTCTTCCACTGTTTTTAAAGGCTTTGCACTTTCCTCTCCAAAAGGAAGGTAGCAAGAAATATTATAGTATGAGATCATAGAGTTCCAACTATCATACCATAGTTGGGTGTGAAGTTCATATGGAAAGAAACTTCTAGTTTTGAAGTCTTAGTCCTTTTTGGCAAAGGTGGAAGACGATTGGGTAGGCGGGACAATATTGAAAAATTGAGGAGAAAAGACACGTGATGGACATGATTTTTTGATAATGCTGTTAGTTTTTTGTGATAAAATTTAACGGAAGGATGATTCTTAGTATAATGATGATTTTTGTTTACTAGGATAAGACAAGAATGTACTCTTGCTTTGAGCTATAATTTAAGGATGATTTTTGCCAAAAACTCGAAAAATTATATTGCCGAATTTATCTTTTACACAATTTTAACTTACTAAGAGCCCTTATCTTTTTACTTTTCTTTTTGAATTTTTATTTTATTTTTTTCGAAATCAATGTCTGGCCATAAAATTTCTAATTTTTACTTTAAGATGAATTTTGACATTTTTTAAAAATTTGAAAAAACTCCAAAAAATTATTTTTCAAAATTTTCACTCAGATCAGTCACAAAACTTCAAAAATAACCCAAAATTATATTCATGTCCAAACACAACTCTAATTTTCAAATACCATTTTCACATAAAAAAAATTTACTTTTTATTTTTAAATTTTATAATTCTTATATCCAAACGCCAACTAAGTTTTACTAAACACTAAACTGTACAAAGGAAAAGATAGAATAGACAAAAAGTTTAAAGGTATATCTACAAAATCAGCCTCCTTTAAATCGAATATTGGGAACACGTCCATTAAAAAAATAATCTGTTGAACTTAGACAAATATGGATTACTAAAACCATTGATCGGTCCTCCATGAGAAACTCTCCATCACATACTTTTACATAATATTCATGCTCCCCACGAGATAAAAGCAATTTTTGTCTCTAAATTATTCTTGACAAAAAATCATAGAAGAACTTTTTAAAATTTTTGTGAAAACTATGCTTCAAATTATTTTCTATTTCCAAAATATAACTTTGATTCAATTGTTAGACATCAAAATCTAGCTTGAAAATAAATATTTAAGTTGTACTTCTGGATTAATTTATTTCTTTTGTATCTTTTATGTAATTACTACTTCTTATATCCCAACTTATTTAATGTTTTTCGGATTTCGATAGTCAAACATTTCAATTTCGATCGTTAATTCGGACATAAAATATTTAATATTTGTAAATTAAAATTTACATATTTAAAAATTATATAAGTTATGAATATTTAACAATTTAAAGTCTTAAAAGGCATATGACTTTGATAGGATATTTTTATAAGTTGGGTGATTATCCAAGGAATTTATTCGGCGAAATGATGTATAGAAAGGTGGCAAAAGAATAATCACAAAGTTGAAAAGGACTTCTAGAGATTTCTCAAAATTTATGGCTTTTAAAAATAGGAATTTTTTAAACCCCTTCTTTTTTTCTTTTTCTTTTACCAATAAATTAAACCCACTTTCGAGTTCCGACAAGTATAAATTATCAATAATTCCGTTTCCACCCACATTATTGCTCCCTCCACCATACCCCAATTTCCACTCTTTATTCAAATCCACTAAAAACAAATTCTTCATTCACAAACAAAACATCGTAAAAGAATTCCTCAAATCCCAATACAATAGAAATGAGAGAAATCCTACATATACAAGGTGGTCAATGTGGCAACCAAATAGGTGCCAAATTCTGGGAAGTAATATGTGATGAACATGGCATTGACCAAACAGGAAGATACAACGGCGACTCCGATCTTCAGCTAGAACGAATCAACGTTTATTATAACGAAGCAAGTGGCGGCCGTTATGTTCCACGTGCTGTTTTAATGGACCTTGAACCTGGTACTATGGATTCTGTACGGTCCGGCCCGTTTGGTCAGATCTTTCGGCCCGATAACTTTGTTTTTGGTCAATCGGGTGCTGGTAATAATTGGGCTAAAGGACATTATACGGAAGGAGCTGAGTTGATTGATGCTGTTCTTGATGTTGTCCGGAAAGAGGCTGAGAATTGTGATTGTTTGCAAGGTTGTTTGTTTTTAATTTTTTTTTTTTTTGCTTTTTTGTTTTTTGTGTTGATAAGCTGGATAGAGACGAAGGGTTGATAAAACTGTTAGAAGATATAATTAAGTAAATATAAGTGTGATTTTGATAACGACTTAAACTTTTAGATAAGATTGTTCCATGTTTCAACAAAAACGAGCCCTATATAGATTGAAATGAATACTGAGGATGCATATACCCGACCTCAATAAATTTGGGATTAACCGTTAAATTTAGTAATTTGTGCAATTTAATTTTTGGGTTTTTGCTGGAAGTATCGAATGGTTTTTGGGTATGTTGATTGATCGATAAATATGTTAGAATTTTCATTGATACCATTGATATGTTATCTGAAATTTGTTACATTTTTTACGTGTTGAATTTTGGAAATACAAAGATTTTGATTTGAGTTTGGAGGAAGTTGGGATTGAAATATGGGGTTGATATGATTCTGTTTGATCTAGTATTTTTATTGTTGATTTTGAGGTCACTCATTTGCCTTCTTTTGGTGTTTATAAGTTCATTTCTTTATATAATTTCCCTGTCATGTTGTGCTAATGGTTACAGGCAGATATGGAGTTAAACTTTGAGTGGCTCAATTTTTATGTTCCTCACCGCTAAACCCAAAATTTTGCAATTATGGGTTCAGATTTTAATATTTATTTGTATTTTAATGATTTTCACACATATATATATATATATATGCTTTGTGTAAGAGATAATGGTTCAGTTGAGCTCGTTGATTGTATATATGGTTCACACATATATATATCTACTTTGACGTGCAGGATTCCAAGTATGTCATTCTTTGGGTGGAGGAACAGGATCTGGTATGGGCACCCTTCTCATTTCCAAGATCAGAGAGGAGTATCCAGACCGAATGATGTTGACATTCTCGGTCTTTCCTTCTCCTAAAGTATCTGATACAGTTGTTGAGCCATACAATGCAACCCTTTCCGTTCATCAGCTCGTAGAAAATGCAGACGAATGCATGGTTTTGGACAATGAGGCGCTTTATGATATTTGTTTCCGTACATTGAAGCTTTCAACTCCCACATGTAAGTCTGATGACGTGTGTTGGCTGCTACTTTTTCTGCTGAATTGAGAACCAGATAGGAATTAGACATATCAGATAAAATTTTCCACCTCTTATTTCTAACATGTGAACTTCACTTGTCGCACATCTCCTTTTTCTGTAGGTAGGTATACGTGATTAAATAATTATAGCTGCAGGTTAACTCCTTATGTATTTACTTGTGAATCACTAATTTTGTGGTGGACTTGAGAATTTAGTGCCCTCTGCCAAAGGAANGGGGACTGGGTGCTTGATACATCCCACTAGCACATGTAACTTGTAACTCTGCCCGCTAAGGCTTTGTGGATGAGAAGAACACCCAGTGTTTTTTTTTTCTCTATTGGAATTTGAACCCTCATCTCGTCAGGCCTTTCCCATTGCATTGTCCACTAGCCTACTGTCGTTGATGCAAAAAAGATAGGTGTTCTTATTGTACACAATTGGTTTTCTTTGATGCTTATTTCTTTCTTGCACCATTTTTGCTGAACAAATGATCCAATTTAATGAATTAACTTCATTCTACCATGCCGCAGTTGGTGATCTTAACCATCTTATTTCTGCCACCATGAGTGGTGTCACATGCTGCCTTCGGTTCCCTGGACAGTTAAATTCTGACCTACGGAAACTTGCTGTTAACCTTATTCCGTTCCCGCGTCTCCACTTCTTTATGGTTGGGTTTGCTCCACTGACCTCTAGAGGCTCCCAGCAGTATCGCGCGCTCACAGTCCCTGAACTAACACAGCAAATGTGGGATGCCAAGAACATGATGTGTGCTGCCGACCCTCGTCATGGTCGTTATCTAACTGCCTCTGCCATGTTCCGTGGTAAGATGAGTACTAAGGAGGTTGATGAGCAGATGCTTAACGTCCAAAACAAGAATTCATCATACTTTGTCGAGTGGATTCCCAACAATGTCAAATCCAGTGTATGCGATATCCCACCCAAGGGTCTGAAGATGGCTTCAACCTTTATTGGAAATTCAACGGCTATTCAGGAGATGTTCAGGCGGGTGAGCGAGCAGTTCACAGCAATGTTTAGGCGCAAGGCTTTCTTGCATTGGTACACCGGTGAAGGAATGGACGAGATGGAATTCACCGAGGCTGAGAGTAACATGAATGACCTCGTGGCCGAGTACCAGCAATACCAGGATGCAACCGCTGATGACGAGGAATACGAAGAGGAAGAAGAGGACGTTGCCGCCTAAGGTATCTTTGAGTTCCTTCAGTTTGTCTAAAGCTTGCGATTTTTTGGCTTTCTGATGGATGCGTGGCTTTTCATCTGTGTGATGGACTAAGTAGATTGACCATTAATCGCTGTGATCTACTTATCGGTGTTTATTTACATTGATTTGTGATTATGGTTCAGTCAGTGCGAAGTGTGAAGTATGAGTGTTTGTCAAATGTTCTTGATTGTAAAGAAAGCAATATGGTATATATACACTTCTTTGTTTCATAAATTTTGTTCAACTTTACCTTGATGAGATGGAGAAATATATAGGTAGTGTTTGGTACAAAAACCCATTTTACTCTTATCCTTAATTTCATTTGTGGTTCCTTTACTTTCTGGATAATGCGTTTGGTTAGCACCTTTGCTGAATTAATTGGTTTCTTCAGCGTGGGGAAAAAGATAACGTCATGCATGCAACAAAATAAAGACCAAAGACCAAAGCAACGTTTCCTTTCTGCGATTCAACTTTGCCATTGTCATGTCTACAAAACAAAACAAAAAATGAAAAACGTGACTTGCGCATCAGATAATAAGGTAATTGGAGGTAAATATTAGGATAAACGTTAATTTGTAACCAGATAAAAATGGTAACTTATATATTATAATAGGATAAGCTATACCGGTTTTACAAACAGGTTGTCGTAATTACTATATTGTGTAATTATTAGGCTATCTAATTACTATCCTAATAATTACACCAATTCCAATTACCAAGTGGCTTTCCAAACAGATCCATAATGTTAGGTAATCGTCCTTGAATGTCAGAAGGGTAGAAAATCCCTGTTGCCGAAAAAATCTATTCTCTTTATATACCTTTCAGATGAGTATTAACTAGTAAATCCACGGGATTTTTGCTTAAATAAACTGGATAATTTAACTTAAATAAACCCAACAAGCACTTGGATATTTTCCTGCACTTTGAAATTTTCCTTTCAGAAATTCTCAGTCACATCAACGTCACTATTTTCCACAAACAATTGGTTTAAGTCTTTCTAATGCTTATAGATGAATTTGGGCATATATTGATGAAAGAATAAAAATCTAAATGTTTCGTGTGACCTCCCAACCTAGAATCCAGAGTCAAGAGAAATAGATGATAAAGCATATAAGTTACATAAGAATGGGTTGACTTAAATTAAACACACCAACATATAAGAAAAGGGAAATAGAGAAAGTAGTGAGGGGACTTCAAAGTATAGGTGTTAATCGGGCCGGGCTGACCGTTTCCAACCCGGGTCAGCCCTGTTCAGCCCGTTATTGTTGCTTAATGTGCGGGCTGGGACGGGTTGGTTGGGGGCGGGTTTTGAACGAACATGTTTTGGATAACGGTGCATCGTACCCGCTAAGCATGTAACCCGTTAACGGGTTGTTACCGGGCTACAACCGTTATTAGCCCGGTTACCGTTACAGAAATTTTTTTTAAAAAATTATTTGGACCGTTGCCAACGGTCAAATTGAGAAATGGCTGTGGGGGAATGGCCAGATTTTGCAGAAATGGCCATTTCGGCCTCCCCCATTAAAAATATAGCCCTCTCACCCCTAATAATTGAAAATTTACATTTTTAATCTTTTAAAACCTATAAATAGCCCCCTTCTTCTTCTTCTTCTTCTTCTTCTTCTTCTTCTTCTTCTTCTTCTTCTTCTTCTTCTTCATTTTTTTCTCACAATTCACTCTCTTACTACTCTAATTCTCTCTCAATTCTCTCTTGATATTATTGTTCTTAAATTCTCAATTACTTATTATTTCAAGTTTCATCAATTATTTAGTTTGGTCATTACAAAATTATTATTATCAAATATCAAGTATTCAAGTGAAGTGTGGTATCAAGTACTATCAAGTATCAACTATCAAGTTTCGGTCTATCAATTGAAGTTTGATTTTTGATATCAAAATTAGTGCGGCATCCGGAATTCCGGTACACTCGTTACATCTCTTTCTCTTATTTGGTGTACACTTATTTTATTATTTAGAATTATTAATTTAATTTCTTAATTTAATTTACATAATGGATTTACTTAGAGCAGCCAAAAAAGCGTGCACTAGTAGAAGTGGTAGTAAGAAAACTTCCAAAAAATCAAGAGGTGGTGTTGGTCCTTCTAGTAGCTTTACACATATTTCTGAAGTTCACCTGAAAATTTAAATGTAGATTATGAGCGAATGCAAGAAAATTATGGTATAGATGATGATTTAGATGATATTCAATCACCCGATAATCTTGAAACACCACCACCTACACCTAGTAATGCTAGTCAAACTCAAAATATTAGGGGTAGAACAAGTTGTCACGACCCTAAACCCAGACCTGGTCGTGATGACGCCTCTCGTGAAGACAAGGCCAGCCAACTAGTCCCAATTCAATTTTTAAACAGTTAAACATTAATAAAAAGTCTAAGCATGAGTCAATAAACCCAAAGACTAAGTAAAAGATTTTATAATGTGTGGAATACAATCCAAACACAGCCCAACACCGGGGTGTCACAAGTCACGAGCATCTACTAGGGTCTAAATACAACTGAAAAGTCTGAAATATGCAAAACACAGATTAATGAAATAAGGAGGGAGAAAAGCAGTGTTGGGAACCGCAACTACCTTGCTAAACTCTGATGACTCTGCCTCCGATCAGCTAATACCCACTACCGGGTTTAGAAATACCTGAATCTGCACACAAGGTGCAAGGAGTAAAGTGAGTACTCCAACTCAGTGAGTAATAATCATAACTAAAGTCTGAATGGTAAGAAATCACGAAAAGTGCATCAACATCATGTATAGAAGCAGTACAAAACCAGTAAGAAAGCAATAAAGCTGTAAAATCTCTTAAAAAACATTTTAGCTCAATTTAACTTCTTTGAAAATGACTTTTCAACAGTTACGCAAATGAATGCAAAACAATTAATGCAGATAAGCACAGAAAATCCGCCCCTCGGGCACAAATATACAATTAAATAGGTAAATGACAAGCAAATAAGAAAGATAAGCACATAAGGTTCGCTCCTCGGGCACAGTGTCAACAATCCGCCCCTCGAGCAATATCTCAGAACAATACCAGCCCCTCGGGCAATCACATAGAACAATATCAGCCCCTCGGGCTATATCTCACATCACAATGGGTACCCGCGCTCACTGGGGGCGTGCAGACTCCTGAAAGGGCCCCTTACGGCCCAAGCGCAATATCAAGCCACCTCGTGGCATCATAAACAAGCTCTCAGCCTCATATCAATATCAACAACCCACCTCGTGGCGTACATATCTCAGGCCCTCAGCCTCGTAATCAAATCAGTGTATCACCGTTGCGGCGTGCAACCCGACCCAAAAGTATCCTCACAACACAGACCCTCGACCTTACTCAATCAAAAATCACATAAGCCACTCGGGCAACAGTAAAACATGATGCTCAGCCCAAAATATGATTTAAAATCTCATTTCAAGTGTTAAAGCAGAGTAAACATGGTTGAGTTTTGAAAACAGTAGAATATAACATGACTGAGTACAAGTTTAAAGTCAAAACAGTGAGAAAATAGCAATAAAAATCCCTGAAGGGTTCAAATAGTTGGCACGAAGCCCAAATATGGCATTCACCTTAAATAATGATGATAGCAAATAGATTTCAATAAAATATGCGGTAAAATCATCAATCGGGACGGACCAAGTCACAATTCCCAATAATGCACGATCCCACGCTCGTCATCAAGCGTGTGCCTCACCTCAATATAGCACTTCGATGTGCAATCCGGGGTTTCAAACCCTCAGAACATCATTTACAATCATTACTCACCTCGATCCGGTTCAACCTCTAGTCCGCGATGCCTTCGCCCGCACAAATCGACCTCCGGATGCTCCAAATCTAGCCACAATCAGTACATAATCATTAAAATATGCAAAGGGAACGAAACCCACTCGAAAATATCCAATTTACATCTAAATCCCGAAATTGCTCAAACCTGACCCCCAGGCCCACGTCTCGAAACTCAATAAAATTAACATCAATGGAATCCTCATCCTCTCACGAGTTCATACATATCAAATTTACCAAAATCTCATCTGGTCACTCAAATTCTAAAAATTCATTCTCCAATTTCAAGCCATAAATTCCCAACTCTTCCTCTAGTTTTCCCCAAATTTTCATGGTTAAACAATGATATAATCACCATAAACACAAGGTATAAAGCCCAAGTAGCTTACCTCTGTAGATACACTTGATCCCCTCTTGAAATCACAGCTTGGAGCTCCAAAATCGCACAATAATGGTGAACAAATGACTGAAAATTGCAAAGGGGCATTTTTATACCTTCTGCCCAGCTTTTTCACACCTGCGATCCAATAAGCACATCTGCGCCTCCGCTTCTGCGGAAAAACATCCACTTCTGCAGATTTCACTTATGACACCAGGACCCGCATCTGCGGTCAATCCACGCACATGTGGTACCGCATTTGCGGTCTCTCTCCCGCTTCTGCGAAAATCACTGCACAGCCGAAATTACGCATCTGCAATCACACTTCCGCATCTGCGGCTCCGCAATTGCGGTCCACATAGCCGCTTCTGTGGTTCCTGATCCTCAATCCCTTTTCTGCTTCTGCGACTAAAACTCCGCTTATGCGGCGCCGCACCTGCGGTCCCCAATCAGCAGGTGAGAAAATACCAAAAGCAGCAAATTCAACAGCTACAACAAAATCTAAACTTCTCTGTCAACCATCCGAAATCACCCTGAGGCCCCCGGGACCTCAACCAAAAGCACCAACATATTCTAATACCTTATTCAAACTTGTTTCGATCATCGAAACAACTCAAACAACATCAAATCACCTAAAATACATCGGATTCAAGCCAAACTTTCTAAAATCTTCCGAATTTCGCTTTTGATAAAAAACCCAACCAAACCACGTCCGAATGACCTGAAATTTTGCACACACATCCTAAATGACACAACGGAACTACTGCAACTTCCATAATTCCATTCTAACCTCTATATCAAAATCTCACCTATCAACTGGAAAACGTCGAAATCTCAATTTCGCCAATTCAAGCCTAAACCTTTCACGGACTTCCAAAATGTATTCCGGTCACGCTCCTAAGTCCCAAATCACCTAACGGAGCTAACCAAATCATAAAAAATCCGATCCGAGATCATCTACAAACAAGTCAAATCTTGGTCAAACCTTTCGAATTACAAGCTTCAAACTGAGAACTGTTCTTCCAAATTTCATTTCGATTACCCTAAAAACCAAAACCAACGATTTACATAAGTTATAATACATCACACGGGGCAGGTCACGCCCGAGAACTG